GCGGTGACCGGAGAACAAGTGCTGCCATCCCCCACCCCCGGGGCATGGCAGAAACCTACGGGTGCCCCATTCGAAATTCTGCCAAAAACAAACACACACGTGTTCCCCCCTACCGTTCCAAAAAATATACAATACAAACTACAATACAAATCCTACTACAGCTAATGGCCTCAGTTGCCGAAGCTTAAGTTCAATAAAAAAAAAAAAAAATAGTTTACAGGAAATATTACATTTTATCATGCTATAAATGCATTATACATACCTACCTGTATTTACTACACTGTGTTAACATAATAACATCTATATCACATATCCATACACATGCAATTATTTTTGATATTGCAAAACTACAATTCATTTTTTTGTACAAACATAAAATATAATAGGTAGGTTTGCGGTTCGCTCACATTTGGTCAATAATTCAATACAAACACTTTCTTATTTATACGTCGCATATACTCATATCATAGATAAGTGGTCTTTTGTGGTCTCTTATATTTTACAAATCTTATTTCAATAAATATTGTCACATCTATATAAATCATATAGGTAATAATTATACTCTCCGATGTCCTTCGATGTATGAGAACTTAACCACAATTTTAAGATCATATAATCATATATTATTATATTTTTTTATAATGTTATAAAATTAAATGATAACACAAAAAAATAATTTATATAGGTATAGCGGTACCTTATAGGTAACTGTCGTAAATTTTACATAATATACATGGCTACGATTGAAACAGGAGGATGCAGGACGTGCTGCTATTTCAAAAAGCGCCGGCACTTCGGTTGAACGCTACGGAATAAATTGCATATTTGAATTATTATACCTATATTAAAAACTACTTTTTATTATACATACCAGATAATAGTTATTATAATAAGAATAATTATTTACATAATATTGAATAGGTATAGTTTCAAATTTCGTGACTAGCCAGTAACTATATATATGCATATAAGTTATTAAAAATGGAAATTTCAATTTTTAGTTTAATAATAGGTACATTTTGTAATTCAAGTGTTATCGTGAGTAATATAGTGACAAAATTATCAACAAACCTAAAAGTTCGGAGGATAACCACGATGTATATTTAAAACATATTTTATATCAAAAAAATTGTTAGGAGATCATTGAAGAGAAATGGAGGAAATGATCTGCATAGGCGTCCAAATAAATTAATACTCCAGTAAGTAATAAACAAAACATACGGATGTTGCTGCAGGGAACATTGAACATGGTGACTTGAAACTGATCCGCGTATTGATTCAATATATTATGAAAGAAAAAAGCGATTTTGTTAAGCAGACTTTCAAGATAATTTTTCTTCCTAGTTTTTAAAAATATTGTTTTTTCTTATTAAAAATACTATTGGTAATTTTTTTAAGAAAAATATAAATTTGTCTCTGATCTGCCTACTTATTGTATTTGAAGTGTTAGTGCATTCAACTGTCAACTAAATTATCTCTAATCAGAAAACAACTCGTACCCACATGATAAAAAAAAAATAACATGATCAATCTAAGTAATTCAACCTTGTTAGTACCAATGCAATATAGGTACTTAATCTGTAATTCAATATTAAAAAATTATCCTTATCCACTTTTGTTGAGGTGGTAAGAAACTATAATAGGTACCCAGTACTTAGCATTATAGGTGTGCTGTAGAATATGATATCAATATTTTCCTATTACATAAAATACTAATCCTAAAGAGTAAAGAGTATTATAGATACTAACATTTTTTCTTATACAAATTAAAAATATTAAATAACATTTAGGTTCTAGTTTTTTGCTAACTCTGCTAATTTGCTATGGATAATCCAACCGAGGAAGCTGTAGACGATTATAATTTACTTATTATATAAGTACCCGATACTTTTACCCGACATTTATTAGTTAAATTTTTGATTGATTATACAATAAATTTATTAAAATTTATAATAAATGTTTTTTCATCAGCAATTATTAACAAATTAGTAAATTACTAAAATATAATGATAGTACATACTCTGTTTTGAGACTTGAGAAAACTAGGATAAAGTTAAGTGTCAAAAAAATAAAAGATTTAACTTTGATTGGTATACCGCACATAAGGCGATAAAAATTAAATGAGTTGGTAGGTACCTAGTACGTAAATGGAAAAACTATGTATGAAAGATTCGATAAGGTTTGATAGAAAATAGGTACTAATATGGTGGTATGGTATTTAAATTAATATGCGTCATAATGTAATTTGTTTTTCCCTCCCATCCTAGTTTTTTACCCAATTACGCCATAGGTACTGAATCTAATAATCGAACATTCGAACTCGTTATATCGGACAAATTAACTTCAAACAAACGTGCTTTTACTAAATATTGTAAACTGTTGTAAACTATGTAGAATGTAGAATGTAGATTGTATTGATTGTAGGTGTACACTATACAATATATGTACTTGTATACTTATACATAAGTAAATCAATTAATAGTTATATTATGTTAAGTTGAAACTAACACTCATCTTGACATCTTAACTTTGTAATGTTTTTAGTTTATAATTTATAAATAATTTTATAAACGCGAGGAGTGGTGAGATAGCAAAAAATAAGGTGTATTTCAAATCAAAGCATAAAATCTATAAATCTATTTACATCAATAAATATTCTTGTCACCACTAATAATATGAATTATCATTATTCTTAACTATACTTTTTTTAAAGTACAATACTTAACTAAAATAGCTTATTTTGGTGTAAAATTAAATAAAGGTGTAGCTTATATTTATGTAAGCATCTAAAGAATTTAATAACTGATTTTGACTTATTCCATATGGTTCCTGTTAGTCGTTTTGCTCAAATATGGGTTTCTTAATTTTGAATTTGTAAATAATTAATAATTTATATACAATATTATATACACGAAATAATAACGTATCTATATCCTACCACCTACATATAAAATATATAACTAATCTCAACAATTAGACTTGCATCTTAATAAAAATATAATATGTCACAGGGACCAATACTGTATACTGCTCACCTATATAATACGTAAATCCGACTTTGGAGCTAATAACCCCCGTTTAATCAATCTGCGAATGAAACACACTCACTTTCGAACGAATTCCGAATCCGTTATACCGAAATCGAAATGTTAAACCGACATTATTTTGTGTACAATAATAATTGACAAAAAGGCAAACCAATAACTAGGTATGTGTTACTTGTTAGTTGTAGATCGGTATCTACTATCAAACATATTATATTCACAGAATGCGGCCAATTCTCAGACGATCTTACCAGTAATACGATACATATCAAACACCTAAGACACAGCACTTGTTCGAGTTGTACCTAACCCTGACCACATATCAAATAAATGTTATGTTCTTAAAAAAAAAACTAATTTGTACATTGCATTATGTAATGTTATCTTAAAATGTAAAATAGGTAATAAATCGTAAATACCTAAATAAAAAAAAGGATGTAACATCAATAAGAAAATTGTTTATAATTTGTGACTAATGTAGTTAATCAAAGTTTACTTTCAAAACATAAAATAATAATATTTTTTATATTTTATTACTATTATAATGTTATATTATATCAATACATCATGACCGCATTTCGCCACTCCTCATCTTTCCCAGACAGCATTGGCGTCCACCCCGTAACACAACAATAACATGATAATAACACCTATCATCACATATTATTGGTATTACATATTATTATTATTTATACATTTTACAGTGCCTAACACAATGTTTGCGTCCTCCATGCAGTAGCGCTGTGGAGGAACGGTGGCGGGCGGCGTGCATTGCGCAGTAGCAGAATATTATTATACCCTACAGACACCCGGCCCGGAACAACGCGCCGTCTCGTGCAGAGCGGTATAATACCTATGCTGCTACACGCCTGTACATACAAAGACACAAAAAAATAATACGACATCATACGCCGGTTGGGTACACACGCGCAAACACGCGGCCCTCGCGCGCACACACACTCACGAACACGAGTGCGGCCCGATCCGGTGAACGACGGCAACGAAACACGACTACACGTCGTACCACAACAATAATAATAATAATAATAATAATATTATAAAAACGTCTCCTCCGCCACTATAATAATAATAATAATAATAATTATGGTCGTTGTCGCGGCGGCGGCGGCGTGCAGGACGACTACGCTTGGCGGTGTATCGTTATTGTGGTCACGGCCCGTCGTATGGTACCGGGCCGGCGACGATCAGAATCTCAGATCAGTCGGCAGTCGTGTCGCAGCGTCGTACGAACGCACACGCGGATCACGGGTTCTGGTGTTGTACGACCAAACGGCTGCAACAATATTTGTACGGCCGCCGCCATTCGAATCGATTGCTCCGCGCGCGCGTTCCATAACTTTTCTCGACTCTTCCCAGTCACAGGTCGCGGGGACTTTGCCTGTGACGACGATGCCGGTGCGCGCTGCGTAGAATCCTGCCGAGTGGAGCGCTCGACCGTTCCGCGTGCACGTGTGTGTGTACCGTAGTGCACCGCGTACGTACCGTTGCAGTCCGTCGCCGCAGCTGTGTGCAGAGTGCCGTCGTCCGAGGTGAGTCCCTAGGACCGCACGTCGAGTGCAATAGTGCATCATCGAATACCTTAAAATAATTTTTAAGTATTTGAGTTCACGCATACCTCTCAATACACTAGGGGTCACCAAATGGCGACCCCCGGACAAACTATTTCGCAGATTACAACATTTTTGTTTTTAAATTATTTTTTTGACGGTAAACCAAATGATTTTTGTTTTTTACATTTTTTATTTTGGCTTGTACTCTTTTTTTAAGTAAACGCGTGTATTAAATTTTGAGGGCACCCGAAAATTTCCTTAGTTTCCAAAGTGGTTCTCCGAATTTATTATAATTATAATATTATAATCTATCACGAAACGATAATATTAAACCTTTATATTGCGATTTGTGTTGCTCATCTCCTTATTGGGAAAATCACTACGATCCTATATTACAGGAAATGCGAGGAATTTTTAAATCGTACAATTTTCGGCATTTGTTTACAAATATTTATACGACTACATATCACTGTATCGTCATGTTCCTACTTGTTGTTGTTGTTGCACTTGCATATGCGGATAAATATCGAGGATACTGCCTTTTTGGGATTTTTGAGTGACCCTGTTGTCCTGCAACGTCCGTTTATAGTATTTTTCGAGCGTAGATCGCGCCGGCGCGATGGAACAGGCCAGCGAAAATGCCGGTCGCCGTCGGCGAGCGCACTCACACATGTATTTAGTAACTCTGCAAACTATTTAGCGGTTTAAAAATGTGAAAACTAGTAAAATTCTCTTTTTTCGTGTCCCTAGCTGTCTATGCAACAATAGCAGGTTATACGAATAACAGCCATCCTATACATTTATGTTACGTTACCTTAACTCAATTAAATATTTTTATTAATTTAATATATCAAAGACATCTGTCTACCTTGGTTTATTTGTCATATTCACACTATAACTTGTAATTTATATGTAAATTATGAATTACTATAAATTGTTTTGTTTTATTTCTTTTTAATGTTACTTGTTTTTACTATTAGGCACTGTTATTATTACTAGTGCTGTTAACATGGGCGACCATAGGTAACATTTTAGGGGGGTCAAAATAAAAAATTTCGGTAATAAGGTAATATTGTGGTAATATTTATTGAGCTACAAGTTCATAATATTTTTTTCCAGGGGGGGGGGCAAGTGCCCTGTCTTGCCCCCCCCCCAATGGGCGCCCATGGCTGTTAACGCAATGTATTTTTACACTCATTCACATTAAAATAATTACGTAACTTTTTAATTTTTACCAAACATTGTAATTGCTGGATTGGCTTTAATTAATGAAATTAAATTAAACTACGATTGTCAAAGAGTTCGATAAACCATTTACATCGTTATTATAGTATAAAACGTAAATCCCATGTGTCGAATTTACGTACTAATATACTACACAAAAATCGAGACAATCCGTCTCCAAATTCAATATATGCCCTATATACTCACTTCTTAAGTCTTGTCTTATTACTATGCACGCCGCACCTATAATTTAATTTTTTTCGCATCCCAAAATTCCTTAATATACTGGTATACCAGTGCCATTAATTTAATTTGAACGCAACCGTGCAATTTTAAAATTTGCTACCCACTATTATATAGGTATAAAGTTATTATAAAGACAAAAGACACCAGAAAAAATGTGTTATTATCACAATATAAAAATTTCACAGACATATACTAAATATTGTTCAATTTTATTGAAAATCCAAAGCGATGGTTACTTAATTTGGGTCGCGACCAGAGGTTGAGAACTGCTGGTGTACTACAATTTATTAGAGTAAAAGTGTACAGTTAAGTAGGTAACATGATAAAAAAGAAGGTAGGTAGCCCAATTTAGTAAAAAATAAAAATTAAATGGTTGATTTTTTCGGACATTAATTTGTTATACGTACCTTTACTAAAAGAAATACTGCAATTATTAAGTTTTAAACTTGAACCTACCAGCAACTATAGCGAGTGACTGGATATACATTAATCGTATATTATCATATACATATAGGCATTTTTCATATGGGTAATATTGGTAGTAACTAGTTAATAGTTATACACATATGTCTTATATTAAAGCCTAAGACACATTAGTGTTTTTAAAAGTCATATATTAAATTGTACCTACTTGGTTATATTATTTGATATTAGGTACCTAATTTTGCTGTTTTGTATAATAATTAATAACATTTTTAGTACACATAAAATTAAAATCATCTTTTAAAAACAATAAATGCAAAAAAGTGTTAGAAAACGAGGTGTATTAAACTGGGTTAACTGATAATTACACATTTTAATATGTGTGTTTTAAAATCATCCATTTTAGCAGGTTATTGATCTCTCCAGTTGGTTAAAATTATTTAAGTGTAATTATGTTTTAAAGATTTTATATAATAATGTTGAGGTATAGTACCAGTTTTTTTTTTTGCATACTTAATGCATAAATATTGTGTTTTATACACACCTATGTTAAGATTAATCAAAATAAATATTTGAATTTATGTTTTAAATAAAATCAAAATTACCATATTAAATTAAACATTTTACTTTTTAATTTATTGTTGGTATGCGATATTGTATATATGTACGTTATATTTATACTTTATTTACTGCCAACTTAATAATAATTAATAATGATGACAATATTTCCATAAATTAATCAGTCGATTTATCATGAAGTCCACCAAGGGCTGGCTTTTCTCAAGCCCTTGTGTACGTCAATAGATACTAATAACAATTAATTTTGCAGGTTAGATTGTGTTAAAAAAAACAACAGTTTTTATTGTAAATCAATTAAATCAACCAATAATTAGCAATTATACTAACTAAATTATTATGACCGATATTAATGTATAAAATAAATATTAATCAATGTACGGTATCTATAAGTATCACGTTAATAATTTTATATGCACTCAGGTATAATTCACTTTATCATCCAAAAAGTATTTATTCCATTTTTTTCATATATATATATATATTAATAAATAACGAAATTTTAATTTATGTACATTTATGTTTAGAAATTTTATTTTATTTACGTAAATTAAAAGTACCTAGTAACCTAACCTTAGATATTGATAAATAACATAAATAATTAGAATTGTACTCACATGCTATTAAAATTCTAATTGTTTATTACTTTCGGCAATTCAATGAACCTTGCTCTTTTGCGTAAAATATCAAAATAACAGAACTTAAGAAAATGTACCTAGTCAAATTAATTAATTTTTACTTTTGCTTGTTTTCACTCTTCTACATACCTAGCTAACATACGCAAGACATAGAAATTAAAAACAACCGGTTTTGTTTTATTTTTTTCTTTACTTACGTCATTCTTATATATTACATTATTTAAAAATTAAATTTTATTTTTTTGTATCGAAATACTCAGAAAAATATTCCGCTTTCGGAGATTAAATTAAAACTGTGTTTAAATGTTTAAAATACACAAGAACAATTAATTTTTTTAATAGTTTAAAATATTTTCATGAATATCATAAAAATTTTAAAAGTTAAAAATTTCTAATAGTTTTCAAAAGCTTAGGGAAAAATGAAAAAATAATTAAGGAAAAAGGGAGATTTTTACGTGAAGCCACTCTTCGACATCCTCGGTTTTTATGGTTGGTGTAACTTTAAACAAAATAACCATGGATAAATTTTCACTGAATGTTTATTTAACAATTTCCATACATGATAACATATTCAAAATGTTTTGAGCCATTTCAAGACATTTTAAATTTTAAATTTTTCTTATTTTTTTTTCTATTTATATATCTAAAATTTAAAAATTGATTACAATATTCCCCATAAATCCTTATAATAGTAGTTAAAAATATAAAAGAAAGGTACATAGGCACAATTTGTTTTATATGCATTTAAAGTTCAAATTTTGTAAACAATTTTAAAATTATTTTATACAGTTTAAAATGTATAAAATGATTAATATTATTTGAAAATTAAAGAAAAGGTTTCTCATAAGGAATTCATACTATTGTAACCAAAAAATTTAAAAAACTGTATAAAACCCAGTTTTCTTATAGTTATTTTAAGTTCAGATTAGGACGAAATTAGAAAATGAATAATAATGATTTTAGTTATTTTGTTGTAATTTAAAAATATTATTCGTGGTTCTTGAAACTTTTGAAGTATATTATGTAGTATATACAGTATACACACAATGATATTTTTAAATGCAATTTTTTTTTTGGCAACAATCGTTCAAAATAATGTTTGAATTGTGAATAAAATAAATTATACTTTAATAACAATATTATAAAATATACATTATACGAGTACTTATAGTAATATTATATTCTGAGAGACTGTCTTCACCCAGAATTGTTTTTCGTATCCAATGAATTATAATATAATTGGTTGAAATGATATAATTATTATATCATTGAATTCAAATTCAACCAATTCGTTACAACGACCCTTTTATACATCTAATATACAGTAGAGTGGTATATATCAACTTTTTTTTATAAACTTTATAAGTTAGTAGGTACCTACTAAAAAGTTTGTTGTTTTAAATATAACAATAGTATTATTTGTATGTATTTTTTTCCAGTCCGTATTGACTACATACCTATATAAAATTAAATTTTCAAAATATTTAGATTTATATTTAGCTATAGTTATACAACGAGCCTATATTCATATTTCATACTATTATACGGTACTATTACATCTCATTATCTGTATTGACTTAAATGTTAATGGCTATATAGTACCTAATATTATATAAAACAATTTGAAGTATAATTATGGTAATTATATTATAACTTATATTGTATGCAATTTTTTGTAGGAAAAAATTAGTTCAGTGTACCGGATTACTAATAGCAATTTAAATATATAATAAATTATCCTTAAAAATATGGGTAAACGGTCTGTCTTCACCAAGAATCGTTTATCGAGTACAATGATTTATTATTGATCTATTTGATCTCAAATGTAATATGTCCTTTGTAGTGACCTACTCAAAGGCGACATATAGTTCACACCTACTATACATCAAAGCTACTTCCGCCTTATTTTTTCCATAATAACAAACTTGAGTGAATTTAAAATGCTTAGGTGTATCTTGTGCTTACCTATATAATATTGTAAATATTACGCTCAAGAATGTTCATCTTATAAGCAATTTCCTATACTTAATTAAATTAATTTTATGTCACTGCTGGCACAACTGAATACCATAAACCACAGTTATTTAAAATTTTAATTAATATTTATCGTAGTGTGTGAGTATTATGGTTAAATTGTTTAGTGATCTGTCTGGTTTCATCAAATATCATTATTTTAGTATTAGACTTACGAGTAAACATGTTTTCATCTAATTTATGTTAATTTAAAAATTCGTGAATTGTATTTGTTGTTTATATTCTTATACATTAAGCCATGTTAAGAACAAAGCTATCAATTTAAAATTAATAATATGGTGCTGATTTGTACATTTTTATCACGACATAATAATAAAACAACATTTATTACAATTAGAATGTTAATTTCAGGTAACATTTTAAACTATAGTAGGTGGTCTTTTTTAAGAGGTCCTAACTTTTGTTTTTCGTTGCGTTGCAAATATTTATATTTTTTTAATGCTTATGAAGTTGTTACCAATTCACACTTTTTTTAGTGTGCACCTTATTTACGTTTCCTAATGGCCACTCCAAATAAGTAATGCAATTACAATATCTTTACTTAAAATTAATTATAAATCAGGCACACTTTAGTGTAATGTAGAGGTATACTTATGTTCTCGGCCTCTCTGGGAATAGTAACAAACTGTTCAAAATGTTCTAATAAGTCAAAATACAGATAAAACTTTTTTAATATATATAATATATGTGTTAATTAAATATAATAGTTTGTTAATTTTTTTTCCCAGTCAATTTTAATTAAGATTGGATCTCTAGAGACTAGAGAGTGATACTGTATAATATTGGTACCAACACAATAAACATTAATTTATCATTTGATTTTTTTTCTCGTGAGGTAGGTAAACCATGTAAGTCATAAGTCTGGAATCTGCTATTACATGATAATATTATTATTCTTTTATCTAGATAATAAACTACATACACCATTATTTATCCAATATGCGTAAAATTAATTCTATCATTATTTTATAATTTTATCAAAAGCAATTTGATATTAATCATCTAAGCATGAACACTTTTATGCTTAATACAGTAATATTTTAATATTACCTATGTAGGTGTGACAAATATTTTATTAATAATATTTTTTTTTAGCGTCAGGTTTTTGTTTAATATAAGTACTACGTACATACAAATTATGCTTATCGTATTTTAGTACTTCGTGGACACATTTTTCACGACTTCTAATAAACATTAAACAACATATTTTTAGTAACCTTCTAAATACACTTGTACTACCATTTTTGGGAATTCAATAAATATATCAGCGTTAATCATAAATCATACATTTCGTATTCAAATACTCTATTGTTTATTATGAGTATGACTTAAGAAGGAAACAATTAAATAAATAAGATTTTAGTTATTATATTATTTTCTCTATATCTTTACACTTGATCTCGTTTAGACATTTCACAGTCCTATGTTACTTAAATATAGCCAAAAAAGTAAGATACAGCTTTCAAGCACTTCTGTTTATAAAAATACTCACTAAATGTTTTTAATATTTCATTATTTTGGATTAGGTATTATTATTTACTACATAATTTGAAATCTGTTAATTATTTAATTATTTATGTCGACATTTGGCAGTGTTGATAAAAATAGTGTATCTATGTACTCATCCTGTTGGTGTATACATAGTACATATATTTAATAAAACACTCATTTAATTTTAATAATGAAGTAAGTTATTTTTTATTGTGAAATCATACATTACAATTTTATTTTATCACTAAAATATATTAAGTGTATCAATATTTAATGTAAAATTTAATTTTTTTACTTAGATGTATCAAACACAATAATACATATTACCTACTATATCAATGTTCTAAATATCACAGTTATAATAACTTACTTATTTGTCAAAGAAATATCAATATGTATTATTTTTTTGAAATAAAATGCATAGGAACAATCTCATATCCAACCTCCAAAATGAAATTGAAAATTAAAATAATCGAAATCACTTGGTTTAAAAAAAGTTTATCTAATTATGCTGATCAAGCGTTAAAATATCTTAAGATTAAATTAGTTTTTGAATAACTATACAGCTTTGTCAATAAAGACTTCTTTGTAGTTTAAATTGTTGAATAAACTAAATCATATAGCAATGATTAACCTTAAGTATAATGCCTGTGCACTGTAAATGAATCCATCACAGCTATAAATTATTATTAGCATAGCATTTAAATAGCTCACCATACATTTTTTGCGTAGCAGTGTAGAACTTTCAAAAGCAAACATTTATTGTCAGCATCACTTGAATACACGGTTAGTATGTTTAACAATGTATCACACTAATATCTACTATTATTTATTTATAGAGCCTATAAGTACAAATTTCAATTGAGATAATATCCGATATACAAGTTTAATATTTTACATATTCCTTGTAATGTTTTAATGAAAACCCTATAATATTATATAATAATAATAATAATAATTTTTTTTATTAAAAACTATTTTATCCTATTACAACCAAAGTAATTAAAATAAAAAATATTTTTAAATAAATTGTAGTTATTCAAATTAAAATACAATGCTTCCCAATCATTGTAGGTAGGTAGTCAAAAGCAAATTCCAAGCAAATCTCTAATTATCCAAATTTAATTTAACTAAAAACAACGTGCTTATATTTCTCAACGCAATGTCATATTACCAAAGTTCTTATTGAAAACCGAAAAATGTCTTATCAGATCATTGTGACAAATGTATATAATAATATGTAGTATTTATAAATTAAACTTTTATAACACTCATTCTATTACCAAACAAGATATGTCCAAAAAAACCCTTTTATAATTCAATACATTTCACGCTTTGCTCAAGATCTAAAAACAAATTACACTTTGAAAGTCTAAACTAATTACATACATCTCGCCTTGGATTATACATTTTAATATACTAGTAACTACAGCAGTTATTAAAAATTATATAATGGTTCGCTGGTCCTGCCGATTTCGAAACTGAGTTATGCTTTGTTACTATATAGAGGTACAGTTAATTCTTGCCTTATTGGCCAATTTGATAATTAATTGAAAACCATACAAGACAACTAAAGCTCAAGTGATTTTGGAACCTTGAGGTCTGAATACCATCCATATAACTATGTACTAACGTCAGATCCACACAATCATTTCACAATTTCTTCTGTGGTTACAGGACCGCCGTGGTAGGTACCGATTTCACAACAGTGCTTCCTTACGTGTAACCGATCATTTATTTGTTATCTCGATCGGTGTTTTTTTCTGTATGTGCCATCTAGCTGCAACTTCGTTTGTTAATAATTATGAATTTGAATTTCGTTTTTGTTTTTACGATAAAGCAAGGTCGGAGTATATCACAATACTTACGTGACGAGATGGAATATCTTATAGGCACTATACAAGTATATATAATAATATTGAATGGCAACAAGTTGTTCACAGTGTGCTCTATACAAAGTGTGGATTTGATCATTCATTATTAAAATTCGTACAGATGATAGATACCTACCTATAGCACATTCCTTAATATTTGTGTTGGTGTATTATATTCACCGATTTATACGATAAGGGCGACATTGACAAGGCAGTTGCTTCACATTTTCGTTGTTCAGTTGTTGTATTACGTTTTATATTTTTGGAACACATATGTCAGAACTAACTGGTTTTAAAATTTGACATACGGCAGATCTTTAAAAAAAGGTATTAGTCTAAGATCAGATTTAGTCATAGTGGCCATAATACTGTAGGTATAGATCTTACCACAAATCTACTATTTTCAAACCTTGGAATTTTTAAAAGTTAATTTATTTTTAGGCATTTTGATGATACCATGTGTCATTAGTTTTTTTTTAAATAGGGATTATGAGTGGAGTAACTAATAAGGAAACTATAATTAAGGAAATACAAGTAATAATGGAGTCATGACATTTTAAGTTGAGTATCTCAGTAAAAAAGTCCAAAAATTGTCCACAGCGCTGCTATAGTTTAATGATATATGCTGGTAAGAATTCACCTTAAAATTCCCAAATTCCCATTTTTTAAATTTAACGAACTAAAATTTTTCTACGAATACAATAATGATATAATAACTATTGCTTTTAAATGTATATGCTCATAACTGTAATTAATGTTAAACGTTGAATTAGCCATATTTTGTAGTATAATCTCATATTTTTTAAAGTAAATAGGTACATTTAATAAATAAACGTTATTAGTTATGTCTTTTAATACTGTAATGTATCTTTTTGAAATTATCGGTTATTAAAATATAAGTAGTTATTAATATTAATAATCGAGAACTGGTAAAAATACTAGGTATATAATATTCTCGAACGAGTTGAGCTATATAGTATATAACATATATATATATATTTGTAATTTAGACAATATAAAATCTCTACATAGTACCTACTTAGTAAGTGCATTATTAATTATAATATGATAACAGAATAAAATATATGAATTATTTTGATGACAGACCATATTATTAGTTATTTAAAACACTATCTAGGTAGGTATAGTTGATTACATTATAGTATAAAATATAATCTTAAGATAATAAACAAGGCATAAAATAATCTTCGTGGTACGTGAAAGATTGAGAACAATATTATTTTTATTTGCAGATATTTAGACTACAATCGCCATGTCGGAATATAACGGCGAAGCCAAGTATCGACCAAAACGGTATCAGTCTATTGGCAAGTTGTTCAAAAAACGTGTACCGATCGTTTCTTGGCTACCCAAGTACGATGCAGATCAAGCTATCAGTGACTTAGTCGCTGGGGTCACTGTTGGATTAACAGTCATGCCTCAAGGGTTGGCGTATGCTACCCTCGCTGGTTTAGAACCGCAGGTGAGACCAACTTATACTGGAGATTTATTAAATTGAAAATGTATAAATGATTATGTTGACTTAAAATGAAGTATTATGCAGAAGTATAAATGAAAATATTGAAGTGTATTATTTATACAAATATACAATAACAGTAGGTAGGTATATCTGTATGTATAAACGAGCATATTTTGATAATGTGAAATTAAAACACACGTTTTTACTGTTGAAGGTGCATGTATATTGTTCAAATTTCAAGAGATTTGTTTGATTTTTTTGTAAACTTATTTGTGTGCTTTGTTTGAGAGGATGCGAGGCATTTAATGAACTGCATCACACCATTTAATAGTTACAATATTTTAAGCGGTTTCCTGAAAAAAATTAGAATGGTGAAGGTTTTAATGACAATGTTTAGGTGATTTAAGAGTGAATTATGTAACATATAACGAATAACTTGAATTTTTTTGTATTTTATGTCAGTGGGAAATGTCTAGGTTTTAACTTCAAAGTGATAATGTTCGCACGAGGCAGTCGTTGTTTAAATTTTATCGAAAACATGTACTTCAGCTTAACTTTTTTTTGACCACATTGAGAAAATATATGATTAGCTTCCACAATTATAATATATTCCTACTATCATAAAATACCTAGGTATGTAATATTTTACGTACCTACCATTATCCTAATTTTGGGTGTATTATATTTCATTAGTACAAGCGACAATAATCATTGCAGCTGTTCTTTTAATAAAAAATAAACAAGTTAGGAGAGCTCACTCTACGAGTGTGCTATATTCCCGATCTCAAAACGTATTTTAATACATCGCAATAAATTATAACTCCATATACCTACAATTTATGTACGGTAACTACGGACAATAAATAAATAAAAATCAACAATCATAACTATATGTACTATTGTACTGGTAAATAACATATGGACGGATTGACACAACGTTGACATAAGGTATACCTAAAACTTAAGACATTTTCATTAAAATTAATTTTTTTGACATACTTATTGGAGCTCACATTTAAGTATGTTCTGAGTATTATTAACTATTCATATTTTTTCCCTCATAAAATGACGAGTACTTAACTGTTAAATACTTAAATAATAGTGTTTAATATAGTATTCATTTATTGGTATAGTAATTAACTGAAAATGTTAAATGTATACATATAGGTACATGCAATTTTAAATGCATTCATTCTTTGAACAAATATATATATAGAACTTTTTTAGTGTGCTAAAATAACTACCTGTGTAAGTACCTACTATAAAATATTCCATATTTTTTAAATGACATTTTAAATTCATATTTATTTAATGTAATAAACTCCTAGCTAATGTATCAATAAAAAAATTAATATTTACTATATAGAATTTATAGTTTCATACACTAACCAGTTGCCGGAAGTATGAACAAATCTGATATGACCTAAACATATCACAACCACCTCCACATGGCCCTAGCTCCAGAAAACGATACAGAAGCCAAAATAACGAATATTTTCTAAGTAGATAACTTATACAATATAATTAAAGGTATAGGTAGAAAATAAACTATTTTATAAAAATGTTTAATATTATGTAATATTATCTATAAAATGTAACATGTTGACAGTAATGATCCCGGCAGTCGCAGCCTAAAAAAATTGATCATGACGTGTTGTGCACAAAATCCGTGTCGTTTTTGCATACCTACTATAACTTGTTCAATTTACCACATTAAAGTCACAATCTGAAATTATTTTAATTTATTTTAATTAATCTAGTTAGGGATAGCCTAAAGGCTATAGAATGAGGGGCTCAAGTCATTAATCTTTTATTGTACCCGACCGGCATTCATAGTTGTAATTTTAATTACATTTGAGGAAATATCTGTTGATTATCATTTTTTTACGTATCTATAATGATCGGAGATTTGTCAAACTAATTATGTATGGTATATTTGATCTGAGTATAGAGCGAGGAACAGATCAGTTCATTATGATCTTAACATCTTTTTTGAGGCATTAAGCGTTGCTTCAGAAATTCCGTGTTTTGTAAATATGCAAATAATCCATCCTAGTGTAACAACTGCAATATTTATTACGTAGTGTAATAATCATGTAATTAACTATTTTTCAGAAAATTGTGAAACCCCGATATTCTTGGTAATCAGCTGAGCTATGAATTATTTTAAAATACGATAATCACTACCTACCTAATCAAATGTCAAATACTGTGATATTTTTCTATCCTGAAATGAGTGCCCAGCCAGGGTTATGTATCCACTTTCAAGTTATGATTTTTATTTTAGTATTATTCGGATGAATTATAAATAATACTATATAAATACTAATTTTAATAGGTCCTATAATATGAGGAATTATATTGTTTGTGTATTTGTATACATTTCTTTTGTGATGTATGCTTCCTTTACTGCTATCAACTTATGAAGTTATAACTTATAACATAAGGCGTAGGTAACAAAATTGTAGCTTACTTTGTTAGAAAAGGTTGTCATATTAAAAGTGTGCGTAGAGTATACACTAAAAACATTATTTATTTTATTTAGATAACACAAAATACAATGATGGTGAATTATCTTGTTAAGTATTGTCTTTTAAGCAATACATCATGATATAGAATATTCAGCTAGGTATCAATATTTTCTTTCGATTTATAAGTTTTTACTTTTTAATTTTTAATGTTCGAATACATGCATTTTGTTATAATATTTTTCTATTAAATATTACCTATATACAAATACATTCACATCCAATGAAATACATATTTACATTTTTGTGTTTTGTCAAAATGTATTTTTAGTGAAAAATATGTAGGTGTTTGATTTGTTTGTCGACTGATTTAGCCTGTATAGGTTGTTTGTTATTTTATAGATTCATAGCGTATAAAAAGATTGAATTAATATTCTTACAACAATGTTGTATAAATATTTTTTTTAAGGCACCGACTGCATAGTTAGTAGTTGACCTTTATTATGGCGGGGGGGGGGGATACGGTTGGTTCAGAACACTCGTATATGGGCCGAGGATTGGTCACTGAAATCTCGGGTGGTCACCCATCCAGGAGCTTGTGATCCAGCCGATGCTGTACCTCAGAACACGTTACTGACTGCGGCGAACCATCGTGCCACTCCAGGCTTCACAAATATTTTTAATTAATATTTTTATTTTATGTGCACATTTGTTGATTAATGGAGTTTTCCAATAGTGTTAATAATATTATGTAATATTAATATGCATGTACATTGTACATTTTTATTTTTTTTTCAGTATGGTTTGTATTCTGCGTTTGCTGGATGTATTGTTTATACAGTATTTGGTAGTTGTAAGGACATAACCATTGGGCCTACAGCATTAATGTCACTTATGACTTACCAACAAGTGGTAAATAGAAACGCAGATTATGCAGTATTATTATGTTTTTTGTCTGGTATCTTACAATTCATTATGGGATCACTTAAACTAGGTATGTATTAATTAACACTAATTAGGATAATTATGTTAATTTTTATACTTTTTATACATTTAAATCAATCAGTAAAACCATAATCATAATTATAATAGTACATATAGTTATTGTGGAAAATCTATTTACACGTTAGTTTTTTCTCTTAGTAATATGAAGAAACATACCACCATCGGGGTTTGCTGGTATAGTTTTTGGATTCATTTTTATCGGCAGTTTCATACTATTGGATAGTGAAATGTTATAATCTGATAATATTCTAAACAGCGCCACTTTTACTTGCATCATTCCGAATCGCATGCCTAAACAAGTTAATAAGATATTTTCAATGGTTTTAGTCTATCAGTAATAATTTTTTAACAATACTTTACCAATGCATAGTCTAGGACCAGCGCCAAATGGCAAGTACGCGTATTGTGGTCTATTGCGTTTTTCTTCCTCCGTAAATCTTTCTGGAATGAATTTTGCTGGTTCTGGCCAATACTGAGGATCGTTATGAATACCATATACTGGTATGACCACCTGGAGCCCTTTACTGAGGGTGAAATCTGAGTTGGGTAACTTGTATGGTTTCACTGCCTTCCTGGTTAAATTAGGCACTGGTGGATACTTCCGTAAGGCTTCTATAAATTAAAATTATTGTGAAAAATGCTTATATTAATATTTAAGTAATTTAATTTCTTTACTAACCAGATACAATCATATCTAAATAAGTCATTTCTTGCAATATTTCATATGTTAATTTCCCGTTGTATTTACCAAGCACTGAATCAATTTCATCTTGAGCTCTTGTCTGTACTTCCAGGTTCTGGGCAAGTTCAAAAAATGTGAATGTTAACGTAATTGATGAAGTTTCATAGCCTCCAATAAACCATACAAAACATTGTGCCGTCAACACGTCCATAGTAAATTTAAAATCTGAAATATTTTACTATGGTATCAGGTTCTATATGAGATAAATGAGTTATGTTTTTTTATAGAGACAGTATATGGTACCTATAACATTATTTATAGATAATTTATTTCCACATAAGTACCTATACTGCTTATTGCAATTATTTAATATTGGCTGATTTGTACATTGCCTAACTTCTAACATAAAAATATAAAAATCCATGTGTTAGAAATTTTAATGGTTAATACAATTATTACCTTGCTTAGGTATCCATCTTAATTTATTTTTAATAAACTGTATTGTGTGTAGAAAATAATGGTGATGTACGTAAAACCAAAAGTTTCAAGTTCCTACTATTAATATTTTCGAACTACAAAAAAAATGTCTAATTCTGTAAAATTTGAACTTGGAATGTCTAAAAAAACTGATAAAATACTTTTGATACATTTATTTGCTGTAGAAACAATTTATGAGGGACCTTAAATTAAATTTTATTCAAACCTAATACACTGTTCAAATTAAACATTTGATGAATTTCTTACTAGGCATAGAACATAAATTTGCTAATTTTCGCGATTTTGACATAATTTTGAACATAATTTTTTAAATATAAGTTTATAACATATGAATACAATAACAATTTGTCAATTCATAAAGATAGTTTAATAATAATTAACAACGTATCGAAGATTTTAGTGAAAATAGGGCATTAGCATAAACCACAGTAGTTGTTCATCACTTTCACATTCTGCCATAGTGCCATACATGTTATTATTTTTGTAATACTTATTATTGATAATGCATTTTTATATGCTGACTTAGTAGGACCACTTAAATGGGTGATAAATGATAGCAGTGTATCGTAATATAAAGTTAAATCCAGAAGATATTATGGACATTTTACCAACAAAAAAAACTTGGAACATTGACTTTATTTTACTATTGTTTATTCACTTATTAGTTATCTGTAAAATTGAATTAGATAAAATATGATTTATACAATTTGATCACGAACATATTTGCATGGGGAGGGGGCCTAGACACCCCAAGGTAAATTACAGTCATATAAATGCAACTAAAATCACACAATTAATTACTAATTATGCCGTAGAGATAAACTGAAAAATACATAGGTTAGTACCTTCTTTTTCGTCGTTTTCCTCAAATACCGATTTACTGTCTTCCTCGGAAGCTAAATTTTGGCCTCGTTTAATTTTCATTAGTAAGTCCAGAAAGTCATTTCGTTGTATGCCATTCTCTTCCCTATATTTGACTGTATCATTTACTACATTATAGAAAAAATCGGCGTATTCTTTTTTGATACTTCGTACTTTAAGTAAGCCAATTAAACTTGGAGCCAGTGCATTCATTGCATTTCTTATAATACTTTCCAGACTAGTTGAAAATAGCATTCGACCAACCTTCCGAAATTCTGCATCAGGATTTTTCAACGAATTGGTTTCGAATCCAAACGCCACGATACTAATGACATCGGTTGAAAATCGAGCTAATAATTCTTTAAATTCTACCTGAAATTATTTTAAGACTTATAGGTATAACTAAAATTGTAACAACAAAATGTATTGAAATTCACTGAACGTATTGTGTTATTTATTATGTTTAAATGAAAAAAAATATAGGTACTGTATAAATAGTTTACTTGTTCACCAATCACTGCTGGTTCCTCAAGCACCCTGACCATTTCTTGAGCTCGTCCGTCTATGAGATCAATCATGTTCTTTATTTTTCCAATAGTAAATGCTGGTGTTAATTTATTTCTTAAAACTTTCCATTTGTGGCCTTCCAGTGTTAATAAATTACCAGTAAGCGGTTCTAGCTTGTCGTCAAATACTATTCCGCGGTTAGGAAACGTTGAAAATTCTTTCGTAAACACGTCTTTAATAATATTTAAATCTCGAAGCATTAGCTTCGGCTTTTGAAATTGATAGAACCCAACAAACTTGTATCCATCAGTATTAAAATATATGTTAGCATAATGTTCGCCTACCCATGTTTTCATTTTAGTTACCTCCTTGGTATGCCCGTATATAATGTGAGGTTTTAACGGGGCAGGGCATCCTTGACGTTGCCAAAACGTATAACGATATCGTAAGTAGAAATACAATGTTGTAGAAATGATAATGGCATAAGCCACCAGATTTAATAGTGAACTACCGAATAAAATCATATCTCCTGTTAATGAAACAATTACCATATTATTATAGATAATTAATATTGTTTTAAAAATAAATAAATGTAAGTGTATAAATTAATCTTATAACTACTTAACCAACTTTAATGTACCTATAATAGCACATTTGCTTTCATAAAAATTAATTAACCATTCTATATGTCTTATAAGTTATTAAGCTTTTGAATGTTTAATATCCAAACATTATTTATTTTAAAGCAAATTTATATTCTTAGTATTTTACCTCTTTATAATCTCTACAATTCCTTAGTTTTCGGCAGATGACTCCGACAGTTACTCGAACATAACATGCACATTTATGTTCGTAACGTATGTAACAATATTATACATCAAATACTATATTATACTTGCATAATCATATTTTTATCCTATCATGGCATTATATAATACTTTTGAATGATAAAAAATAATAAATACTTCATAACATCAAATGAATAATATTTATTTATTAAAATAAATCTGTTATTTTTTATAAGCGGAAAAGTTATGTTTATTTCAAGTAGTTGCTGACTTGCGGTGGTATGAATCGTATACACATATCCTGGCGTTTTTTTTCCGGATGATCCACGCTGACCTGCGTGGAGAACTGTCTAGAGTCGCAAATAAAAAACGTGTACCTGCCTATTCAGCCGAGCTATAATAATAATAATAATAATAATAATAATCCTATTTTTAATTAAGTAATACTTAATCTATACTATTGCTTTTTAATACGTATACTCTTGTATTAATTTAATTTTGTTTTTATTAATTTAGTTTACATAATATTCCTACATTATGTATATTATGTGGCAATACAAATTAAACGAATAATTATATTTAAATGTAAATCTTGCTTTTGCAAAAATTAAGAATACAATAAATATATATGTATAACCTAGAATCTAGGTCCTAGATAGTCATACGTAATACAATTATATAGGTATTAAATGTATTAAAATATAACTAATAATTATGATTTGTTTTGTATATTTATAAATGTAGGTTATCTGTAAAGATATTATTAGATAAATAAATTTAAATGTTGAATGCTGTTATGTTTTATCAAAAAATAAGTGTATACATTTTTAAATCTAGGTGTATTAATTGACTTCATTTCCATCCCGGTAACCGTTGGTTTTACATCAGCTACGTCTGTTATCATAGCAGTATCTCAATTAAAAGGTCTTCTTGGCTTGAAGTTTGAATCATCTAGCTTTTTAGATTGTCTGCTGAAAGTATACCAGAATATTTGTAACTACCGTGCCAATGATACAATTCTAGGAGTTACATCTATCATCATACTACTCATGCTTCGAGTAAATAAATTGTGTTCTACTCCTAGGTGAATACTATTTTTTAAATATTATAATAATTGTATTTAATTTTTAGAAAATGAAAGACATTAAATTATTAGGACCTAATGGTAAGCCATCCAACAAACAAAGAACAATTATGAAAGGGCTGTGGCTGCTCTCTATATCTAGAAATGCTTTAATTGTGGTTGCTTGTTCAATAATCTCATATTGGTGTTACAAACCAGATTCAGAACCTTACGTGATTTTAATCGGTAAGTAAAAAATTATAAATCGTATTGTCTACTTACCAAAAACTTACTGATAATAATTAAACTTAAATTTATAATTACTTTAACTTGCAATATTATGATAAAGTGTTTTTTTTATAAAATGTTCCTAATATTAATATGCACACCAAAAATATTAACTTTTTCTATCATGAAATTAAAATTGAAATCAGTATTGTCTGTTGGTTCCGCAATATACGAAAATAAATAAACTTAGCTGAACGATAGTGATAAATGATAATTAACTATAAAAAGTTAAGTTATACCAATGCAATGTTAACAGAATAAGTTACAAACAAAAATAATTACCTAGTTAAGTTTAAAACTTAATAACAATAAAAATAAACATTTTAACTTAATTTACTTGACAAATTAATGCTCACTTTTACAATTTACAATAATCATTGCTTTATATTAATACATTGTAGATATGAACATTTTCAAGAACATGCATATTTTAGGTCTAACGTGAAGACAATTATTAAAAATATTTTATAATTTCGATGATTTATTGCAATAGTACAATTTTGAATATTACTTATGTATACATTTTAAAATGTAATACAATTTTTCGAATTTCACTTTTCAAGCCAAAATGTTTTTATAATGACATAACCAAGTATTATCGGTATAATGTTCATGATAGGTACTACCTATCGTGTTTTTCATAGTTATTAATGTATTATTGCCTTCTGTACTAAAATTGATTTTAATTTATGTGTATATTTTAAAGGGGAAGTAAGATCTGGATTACCACCGTTAAAATTTCCACCGTTTGGAACTCAAATAAATGGTACAGCGGTTAGCTTCATTAACATGTGTTGGGATCTCGGATCTTCCATTATATTAGTGCCGGTGATTGCTGTTCTCGGAAACGTCGCTATCGCTAAAGCATTTGGTATAAAGTCATATTATTATGTTTTTTAATTTCTAGAGATATTCTGAAAAGAATTTCGATTACCTACAAGACACGTTTTAATTTAATAAATAATATTGTATAATAGCAAGCGGAAACTCAGTTGACGCTACACAAGAACTCTATTGTTTGGGCGTTTGCAATTTACTGGGTTCGTTCGTTTCTTCGATGCCGGTTACGGGATCCTTTTCAAGAAGTGCAGTTAATCATGCTAGTGGAGTGCGAACACCTATGGGTGGAATGTACACTGGTAAATGCTCATTCAATTTAATATAATCCCATATCAAAACCATTCATTACCAACACATTTTCGAAAATTTTAGGTATACTCATTATTTTGTCGTTGAGTTTATTGACGCCGTACTTTTTCTTCATACCCAAAGCAGCCTTAGCAGCAGTCATCATCAGTGCTGTTATTTTCATGATCGAATACGAGATCGTTAAACCTATGTGGAAATCAAGTAGTAAGTTGACATTATAATAATCTTTCGATATTTGTTTATCATCGCCCTGCCACCTGACCACCGTCCATTGTATCCAGATATTGTTTATGTAATAAAACTTTAAAATAAAATAAAATGATAATAACATAATATTATTTACTATTATTAACTATTTTGTAATATTTATGTAATGCAATGTTACGTGTAATGGCCAAAGCAGCCATGGATTGTTTTTCTTAAAAAAATATATATATATACATGTTACATGTATAATATTGCTTATAATTTATTATAGCGCAATTAATATAATAATTAATAATATTACATAATTACGTGCGCCTAAGTAACTACAAAAAAACGTGCGTTGATATTACATTTGTCTAAGAGATATTTTAATTGACATTATTCTCGACCAGTGTGACACATATTTCACTTGTTTTAAATCGAATGATCAGTTTTTGTTAAACAACTGGACTATCACTGTTAAATACAATCCGGTGAATAATGCATTAAACTAAAAGAGATAGGCACGTAAGTTGAAGCTTTACATTTCTCTATAAATATATCACGTAGTTACTAGACTTATCAGAACGTAACACATCAAGATATAAAGATATATTGATTACAAATTCCGACTTCTCAGATTTGCCTGATGGCGATATATTTTTTCGTCGCAGTGGCGGTTCACTAACAAACACGTCATACCAATCTTTCAAATAATAAATAAAAAAATACCTTTGTGTGGCTATGGTTTTTTTGTTATGAATATATACACGACTAAATACTATGTAAAAGTACATTTTTGACTACCTAATAACTAATACATTAAAAGTACCTACACATAAAATAAACTTAATTATGCCATATTATGGTATCTACAAGAATATTATTATATTCCAAAGGATACATAAAAATATTGGCTCTTTCTTTGAAACTAATAGTAAGCTCATTATTTATTTTTGTTTGTTTTCACTTGTCATATATTTATATTTTCAATTATTCGTTGAAACTATTTATAAAAATATATTAATCTATTTTCACCTATTTATTATATGTAGACGATTCCCTTCATCTGCATAACTACGTCAAAACGATTTATGTTTAAGGGGATTGCATATGCTTTAAATTGTTCATCAAAACTACTTAAGTGACTAACAAAAATCAAGGTAGATTACGTGGTTCGATTTGGTGAGGAAGTTTACTTTGTATTGGTTGAGGAATAAATTCAATATTTTTAATAGTTTTTAATATATTAAACATAAAAAATGTTAAATATTTATTCCCATCAATAATTTGTTAAAATTGAAAAAATACTCCGACCGATGCAAAGTAAACTTATTTAAGCATCCAAACATATTTTAATTTTTTAAATTAAATTCTGGAAATAGGTACTTACTTAAATTTTTCACCAGGGTTATACTTATTCCACGCTCACATATTGGTTTTGAATATTTTGATCATATTATGCTATAGCACAAGGAAGTCACTCACACTAATAATCGTTTACTAAGCATGCAAGTACTATTAAAAATTGCCTATACTTAACTCCTTAAAAATGGTCTTATTTAATTCCCGTAATATAATATTATATTAGGTATATTAATATGTTTTATATTATATAATTTAGTAATTACGCAACAAAATATAGCATTGATAATGATCTGGAATCTTTTAAATTTTAAGTCTTTTATAATATATGTTATAGTTAACATTAAATTATTATTAAAATTGCCTACAAATAGTCCCTTAAAAACGAGAGTCTCATTATAATAATTTATTATTATTAATATGCCATAACAATTTATTGTAAATTGTAATAGTATCGGCTTTTGTACAATTATATAAACTAATGTATTTATATCAAAAACATTTAAAAACTTTAATTGACAATAATGTAAGTAGTCCCTGGATTTTTGTTTAAAATAATCTTTACCTATCATTAAATCATTGGTAATAAAATATATGCTTTGTATTTATAGAAACTGTACATTTATTTGTATTTTTTGTTAAGTACTTAATAAGTAAATACAACTTTATTTATTTTAATGTGATCTAATAAATAAAAGTTAACTATTTTGTGTTTGTTTGATATGTACTTAGGAAAAGACTTGATACCTACATTTGCAACATTTGTTTTATGCCTGGCTATTGGTGTCGAACTTGGAATTTTAGTAGGTGTCACCATAAATATCATGCTCCTACTTATCCCGTCAGCTAGACCGTTTTTGCACATTGAAATGAAAAAGGTAAGTTTTGAATAATTTTGATGTTTTTTGAAATATTAGGTAATTGATTTTTGTATGAAAATAAGTTTTTTTCCTTATTGTTGGCCGACTAAAACTGTATAAATGTGTCATACTTGGTAAATTAATTACAAATATTTGATGATTGCAGTTAAGAACTGGCCTAGATTATTTACTAGTGACTCCAGAGAACAGCCTTTACTTTCCAGCTGTAGACTTTATGCGAGCCAAAACGGATCGAGCTGCTGTTAAAATGGGACAGTCTAAACTTCCTGTCGTAGTTGATTGTAAACATATACTTGATGCAGATTTTACAGCTGCTAAAGTAAGAATCAAAATAAAATAATTCAGTACATTTTTGATTATCCTTGCCCTATTGTCAATTATCCATACTACATATAGCAGTATACCTATACTACTAAACTAAATAATAAATACTATGTTTTTTGATTTTTTGATTTATTTTATAAAAATAATTAATTTTAAGTACTCTTTAAGTAGGCACCTACATTGATTGATGTACTTTCCAAAATATTATTTTTTAATTCTTGATTATATAGGTACCCACTTTTGCAATATACAAATACAGAGAATATAATATATAATATTATTATACCTGTGTACAAAGGTCCTCACAGAATGAGGATAACCAAATTAATCAATATTTTACTGTATAATATTAGCATTAATATATACCTACACTCTGGGCTATTATACTCAAAGGTGTTAGGAACTTACTCTAAATTTTAAAAGAACATGTATATATAACAATGTAATAATGTAATATATTATAATAAACATTATATAAGTTGCAATAATTGTTGTGTCTGTCTAGGGTATTGCTGGATTGATAATGGACTTCAAGAGGCGAAAACAGCCATTGTGTTTTTATAATCCTAGAATAAGTGTATTAGCTGTACTACAGGGTGTGTGTGTGGATGAAATCGTTCACTGTTTCACATATGACGAACTGGAACAAACTCTTAACGGTAATACCTACTTAATATAGGCATCATAACATTGTATATTAGTAGTTATCTATGTAATTAATATCATGTAGTATAAGGCTTTGGATTTTAATAATTGTAGTTAAAAAAAACGTCTACTATTATTAAAATAATTTACACAAATATAAATAGAATGGAAAAATATTAGATGCCCTAGTAAAATTAAAATACATTTATTTTAGATATCAACTATTCTGGGAATCCAGCAGAATTAAAAGACATAGTACATACAACAACCCAGCCGTCACACGAAACTCCGCTTTTAAATAGAAGACAACATTAAACACAAACTTACTTTATAGTTGAATATTTTCCTGCATGATGAATAATTCTGTTGTAATTTAATTTATACAGAATCATGATATATGAGTGTTGTTTAGCTCATACATAATGGATCTAATTTAAATATTTATTTGTTTGTGAAATTTGTGTAAACATATTGAATAATGAAAATTTTTTTCATCTGTACAAATTTTGTTCACTCATCAGAATTTAGAAACTAAGGAATCATTTTTTATTAATATTTTATTATTTTCAATAATTATAATTTATTTATATATTTTTCTAATATTAATTTATACATTTGTTCGTTGTAGGTAGTATACTTGTGTAGTTTATATATGAATGTATGACAATATTTTTATAAATGAGAGGCATGAATATTTTTTTAAGTTAATTAAGTAAAATATTTCAAGATAATTTTTTTAACTGACTACCTATTTAAGGTTTGGTTTTCAAATAATGTTGCAAATGAATTGTTTTTGTAGGTATTCATATAAAAAAATCAATATTTTAACTCAATTTGAAGTATAATTTAAGTTTAAAAACTATTAATATTGTTTTCACTTTACAGTATTTTTGTATACCTACCTATTAGTTTTGAATGGATAAGTTTTTTTTCTTTATTGTGTTGTATGAAAAAGTTGTATTGCAATTTATTTTATTTTACAATTTGTATTTCAAACACGTGCAAGTATTACAATCACTTCAATGTATTAAATAAATATTCTAGGTATATTTTTAATTTTAGTTGTTTTTATTTCAAGGAAAAATCATAAAATTCAGTACTGATAAATGGATTAAATGTCCTTGTTGTAATATTTTGGATGAGTAGATTATAATTCTTACTGGAGGCCGGAACAAGGTGCATTTGAGTTTTGATGATAAAATGTTTTTTTCTATTGATTCTTTGAGTAGTCTAGAACATCCATGAATAGTATTTTATTAATACAAATTGAATAAAAGATGGAACATACTTAGGGTAAAATTACAAACATTTCTAAAATAAATAATTCATTTTTAAAAATGTAGCGAGCATTAAGAAAATTGAATGATTAATACCTGTATATGAGTCAGGCATAATTTACTAAATATTTTGCCTATTATATTATGTTATACCTACATATTGGCATATTGCTCATCTTGAATTGATTATAAACTGTTAAGTAAATATTTTAGTTAAACATTTTTAATGTTGAAACTGATAACCAACGAGCTATATTTTATAATAGTAGTCAATTAGGTAATTAATTTAATGCAACAAATGTAACTATTAAAATAATAACCTCTGCTACAGTTTCCAATTACTTATCTGTGCAATGTTTGATTGTTACATTTACATCTTACATAGATTAGAATGTCTAAAGATTATAGGTCTTTATTCAATTGAATGTAACTGTTGAAATATAATATTAAAGCTGTACCTATATACAACATATTTTGTAGTATGATAAAAGTTATGTTAAAAACGATGGTGAATTTTGGTTTTTCTTACTATTCTTAACAGGTTGACTGCCACGCTAAAACTACAAGGCTTGCTATTATCGCCGAGTAGGATCTATTGGCCCTACAGTATATTTTACTGTCAGGCTTTGTAGGGTCTTCAGACCCTACAATTAAAAAATATTTCTAGGCCGCGTAGGGTTCTGTGATCTGTCGCAATACATAGTTTTATATGGAAAAATACTTTGACGTGGCCTCCTTGGAAGTTCTATGAAATGGTTTTGAGATATAATGTCTCTTTATGAAATAAAATCTATTTTTATTTTAACGACCGTGTTTTCCAAATATATTAAATCATATTCTTATCGATGTTCAGTATTTTTTATATAAATTGAACAAATACAATTTAAAATGTTATCTGTGGACTGTCATTAGTCATTGTCGACTATCGCAATAGCACTGTTGTACACGTGTACGACCCGTTATTCAATAAAATACGTAAGTGTAATTTTACTATATGTTAATTATTATTTGCAATAATAATTATCATAAAATAAAATCATATCATAAAAATAATTTGTAAAATTTTGAGATTGTACTATGTTTAATTTTTGTTTATCAACATAATAAAATAAATATTCATAAAAATAAAATAAAATAATGTAAATGGTACATACTAAGTATAAATAAAAAAAGTTATTACATATTGTTTTATTATTATTATTAGATATTCAATAAAGTCACAAGTATCAAAATATGGGTACATAATATATTTTTGTCTCGTAGGGTTTAATCACCCTACGTATTCCACATAGGCCATGTAGGGTGTATAAGCCCCACACACTTTTTACGGTCTAATACTACTCAACAAAGTACTATAGTGAAATATTGTCCTTTTTTTTTTTTTTTTTTTTTATTA